ATCTGAATATTTCACAATTGGTATGCACAATAGTAGATTTATGGTAAATTCATCTAGTTTTAAATACACTGAAAAGAAGGTAAGTTTTTTTATATGTGCCATGTGGACAATATGATATTGTGGAAGAGTTAGGTTATTTTGGTTTGTTACATTTGTTTTAGAAACAATCTGGGCCTAAATTTACTATTCAACCACTAAGAACAGACCATGATATTATTAGCATGTTAGAAAATATGTCTATAAATAGGCACATTCATTTATACTTGGAAGAAAATGAAGCAAATTTTAAGAAAGAAACCACTAAAATCATATATCAAAATGCAACTGAAACTCATGTAACTGTTATAACTAAAATGCATAAAACTCATGAAACATCTAGGACTGAGTTAAACTCTGAAGAAGATACAGAATATGTTGTTGATGATACCGATTCTTCTGATAGTGGGTTTGAATACAGTGAAAATGATGTGAATGAGGAAGAGGGGTTTGTACACGAGGTGCATGTGGGAGTAAATTTTGAAAGAAAATTTAATGGGTTAAACAATAGAGATGAGGGAAATATTGATATGTCTTTGAATGATGAAGATAAGACTGATGTAGTAGAGTCATTGCATAATATAAATGAATATGATTCTGACTCTAACTCTGATGGTCGAGGAAAACATAGATGTCCTGAGTTTAACTATGAAACTGATATGAAAAACCCACAGTTTAAAGTTGGGATGATTTTTGGTTATAAGTTAAAGTACAAAGAGGTTGTCATGCAGTATGGGATTAAGAATAGGGTTGATATCAGATTCAAAAGTACTGATAGTGTTAGGATGCATGTTGTTTGCAATGAAGGGTGTCTATGGTATATGGATGGCAGATTAAGTCTTATGTATAAGTGCATAAATGTTTGATGGGTTTTAAAAATAAAAATGCAACCTATAAGTGGATGGCTAACACATATTTTGAAAAAAAAATTAGGGTTGATCCTAAGTACCCGATTAGAGCTTTAAGACAAGATGTATTAGAAGATCATGTGTATAAAGTGTCATTGAGTAAATACTTGAGAGTTAAGCATTTAGCTCTTGATATGGTCATTGGGAGTCATAAGGGTCAATACTCAAAGATATATGATTATCTTGGAGAAATTAGGTCTTCTAATCCTAGAAGCACAACCATTATAAAACTGAATAAGAGGGTGTTTGAAAGAATGTATATATGTTTACAAGCATGCAAAGAAGGTTTCAAGGTTGTAGACCTATAATTAGCATTTATGGTTGTCACCTTAAGGGCTATTATGAAGGTACTCTTTTGATTGTTGTTGGTATTGATGGCAATGACAACATCTGTCCAATTACTTATGCTATTGTTGAGGGTGAAAATGAATCATCTCGGTCTTGGTTTCTTTTACTGTTGGCAACTGATTTGGAGATTGAAACCTCTCATAATATCACATTTATGTCAGACAAGCAAAATGTAATTCTAATTTACCCTTATTTAAATTTTTTCTTTTTATTTTGAACAATTTTACTAATACTTTGATTACTATTTTTTAGGGACTGGTTGAGACAATGCTACGTGTTTTACCTAATGTTGAGCATAAGACTTGTGTGAGACACTTGTACTCCAACTTTAAGAATAATGTTTAATTCAAAGGAAATAATTTAAAGGATGCACTAAGGATGACAACTAGAGCTACCTAAAAGAAGAGTTTGAAGATGCAATGGATGAACTGAAAGCATTATCAAAACCAACCTTTGATTGGTTGAATGCAAAGGATCCTGCCTAATGGTCCAAATCTCATTTCTCACCAAGGAGTAAGTCTAACATGTTACTCAAAAATTTCTCTAAGTGCTTTAACAAGGTAAAATGATTAAAATTAGTTAAATATGATTCTGTTACAATATGATTCAAAGCCAATTTTTTGTTCTGTTATAAGATGATTCTGAAAGCTCGAGATAAACAAATTATAAATTTAATGGAGATGATTAGGACCAATATAATGAAAAAAAATTGCCATGAAAAAGGAAGTTGCAGACAAGTACACTAGAAGTTTGTGTCCAAGAATCCAAAAAAAATTGAACTTGCAATTCAACAGTCCACTAGGTATTGTTAAGTTATTTATTCTTACTAATGTGTAGGTACTGTTAAGTTTGTGTTCAATTATAACTCTAAGTTATTTATTGCTCATTACTATAAATTTTTTTATTCATATTAATTCTTGATTGATTTTTATGTGTAGTTGTTGCCCTACACATGCTGGAGGTTAAAAATATCAAGTGTCTTTCGGACCAACTAATCAGTATGTTATTGATTTGAAAAATCATTCATGCTCGTGTAGAAAATGGGATCTCACTGGTTTGTATCAAATGTCTTAAGTTCCAATTTCATTCTCATTTACTTTATTAATTTAACCACTTTTATTTCTTTCATTGATAGGAATCACATCCATACAGGGTGTTTCTGTAATGGTGTTTAATAATCTAAGGTCTAAAGCTTATGTTAACAACTCTTATTTTGTAACCACTCAGCAAAAGATTTCTAGACACTTTATTCAACCCATAAGATGCCCTAATCAGTGGCTAACTGACACCACTTGTGAACCAGTTATACCACCAACGATTAGAAGGCCACTAGGAAAACCTAAGAAAAATATGAGAAATAAAGCATATGAGCTATCGAAGTCTTATGCTACAATGAGCAAGAAAGGTTTTATGATGTACTGCTCCAAGTGTGGTCAATCAGAACATAACCAAAGGATTTGTAAATGGATAGTTGGAGGCAACATGCCGCTTAGGCGACCTAATTTCAACTCATTAAGAGAAACCAACCAAAGAATGGTTGAATCAAGGCACATCATGACAAAACTAAAAGTATATATTTCATATTCTTTTTTAACCTTATATCACAATTATATTTTGAGATTTTGGTACACTTGTGAATATAGGTTAAGAGAAAAACAACATAAATGACCACACCATCACCAAAGGTTGCAACATCACAAGCACCATCATCACAAGCTGCTAGTCCATTTATCTTTATTCCTACTCCAGACCACACATCTTATCTAACCAACCAGCAAGAAGAAACTGTAATTATAGTTAAATGGATGCCAGCCTCACAAGAAGATGTGACTACCAACCAACATTTAAGCCAATTAAGCACTATAACCCAGATTTCCCAAAAAGACTGTTGATAACTCTCTAAAAGAGTTACCAATTTAGCACTTTTTGCCTAGATTTGACTTGGAATTAAGTATGTTTAAAAGCATTTTAGGTTTAGTTTAGTCTTATTTTTATATTTTTTGTATTCTTTAAAGTTTGGTTAACTTGGGCTAATTTTTGGATTTTTATGCTAAAAAAATGAAGATTATGCAGTGAATAATAAAATGCTACAGTAACTGATGACTCACTAGGCTAGGCAGAACCTTCTGGAACCGAGATAGTTGGCTGGGACAACTATATCCTCTCCATTCAGTTGTTTCTACATGGTGAATACCCATTGGAGACAATTTTGACCTTATCATCCCTTAACTCATTTAATCATCAATTCTTCATTCTATCTTCATCCGCACAAATTTCGTCTCTTCTCCATGGCCGCCTAAACTACAATAAGGGAATAATTGTTGAAACATTAGGGGATCAGTCTTTGCTGAGTAGCATCGGTAGTCAACAAGATCACTTCAGTTACTTAGACTTTGCCTGAGATAGGGAAGTTTAGATAATTATTTTTATATACTTATAGATGTTGAATGTTCTAAATTTAGTCGTTTGGGTGAAACCCTTGTCTTTATGAATGCAATTTAATTTTCTAATTTGTGCCTTATGCTTTTTGAATAGTGAAAGAGATTTCATTATATAAGTATATTTATTTAGAGATAAATTGAATGATTTGCATACTAATTTTGTGGCGTTGGTATTGTGAGAAACAAACACATTCTAAGATGTATGTTGCCAAATGTTTAGCATCATTACTATGTGATTGTTTGTCTTAGTGAGAGCTAATTCATATTAATCCGTTAATAGTAATTAATGTTAAATACATTGTAGTTCAGTTAATTGCATGAGTTGAACAAGGAGTCCCATTTAATATCCCATTCTATTTTATTTCTGACTTTGTGTTGTTCTTAATAATATAGCATGACCCTGCCTCTATTCCATTATATTTTCTCTTTTAATACTTGTTTATTTCACATGCCATTTCAACCAACATTTATTTACCTAACTCAATTGTAAACTTTTTGCTCTCTATGGGTTCGACATCCGAAATCCCAAAAGTATTTCCACTTTAATACTTGGTGATGATATGTATACTTAAGTGATTGCTATAGCATATTCTAGAGCATCAAATTTTTGACGCCATTACAGGGGAGCAACTGTTTACTTTAGAGTTTTGTTTTATTTTACTAACTCTTTTATTTTATTTTTGTAGGTATTTTTCAATTGTATGTCTGATAGTGATGACTTAGAATCATTTAATCCTAAGATTGAGAGAACCTGTAGACTTTATCGAGAGAAGCTAATCGAAATCGAATTCAAATGGGTGACCAACCATACGATGTTTTACCACTGCTACAACATGAAGGAGAAATACTGCACGATATTGGAGCTGGACAATAATATTATTTCAATATGGATAATTGTAATAGACTGATCACGGAACATGTCATCCCTACATTAGATTATTTACATCCTGGAATAGTACGACCAATCATCCAAGCCTCCAACTTTAAGCTAAAACTAAAGATGTTCCAAATTCTGCAATTTATTGGATAATAAAGTGGCTCGTTCACCGAAGATCCAAGAGCACACCTTAGAGCATTCATGAAGTTGTGTGATTCCTTCATACAGCAAGGATTCCCTGAAGAGGATTTGAAGCTGAAGCTATTTCTATATTCATTGCGAGATAAAGCTAAATCTTGGCTCAATTCGTTGCCACCAGGTGATATAGCATCCTGAAATAAACTCGCTCAAAAATCCCTTCTGCGCTTTAATCCTCCTAATATAAACATAAAGCTTAGGAATGACCTTACCTATTTCAAGCAACTTGAAGACAAAAATCCACATGAAGCTTGGGAGTGTTTCAAGGAGTTACTACAAAAGTGCCCGATGCAAGGATTTCCCCATTGGACGCAAATGGAGATGTTTTATAATGGGTTGGATATGCACACTCACATGGTGGTTGATACTTCAACAAATGGAGCACTGTTGGATAAGTCGTACAATGAAACATATGATATATTGGAGAGGATTTCCAATAATGACTATCAATACCCCAATATAAGGAACATGTTCGGCGGACGTAATGCTGCAGCACCAGACACTAAACTTAATGGCGTCTCAAATTACAATATTAGCAGACATGATAAAGAAATTACAAAGGTATGGTGGAATGTATAAGGTAAAAAATGTTTCTACCCCCTCTTTTGTTTATTATGAAGATACTCATAATTATGATGAATGCGCACAAAACCTCGAGTCCATTTGTTTTGTAAGAAATTTCAATAGGGGATATAATGCCAACATGTATAGGAATTCATATAATGCCAACTACCATAACCACCCCAATTTGTTATAGAGGAGTAAAAACGTGGCCAATCCAAATGTTGTACAATCCAACTTTAGCAACCAGTAGCATCATTTCAATAAACAACTGATTGTACCATAGTATTAGCAACCAACACAACCTTACCAAAGGTTGAATTATCAAAGGCAAAGTTCCAATCATACTAATAACTTGTCTTTTCTTTAAGCTTTTATGAAAGAATATATAGTAAGCCATCCAATATCTTTAAGAGCGCTGGAGAATCAAGTTGGCCAGCTGGCCAATGCTTTAAGCAATAGACAACCAGGGATGCTACCCAACGATACTGAAGTCCCTAAGACTCATGGGAAGTCTCATTGTAATAAGCATTGCAAAGCCATCACAACTATGAGTGGAATTCATATTCAGTAACCCACTGCTGAGAACCCTCCATTTCCTCAACGTTTCAAAAAGACCAAGGATGATCAAAAATTTAAAAGGTTCATTAATTTACTTCGCCAATTAACCATCAATATTCCATTGATAGATGTTTGGAGCAAAACCCCAACTATATCAAATTTATGCGTGAAGTACTATCCAAAAAGATGAGGCTATGAGAGTTCAAAAATATTGTACTAACTAAAGATTGCAGTGCTATGGCCACAAGCAAGCTACCGCCAAAGCTTAAAAACCCAGGGAGCTTTACTATTCCATTTAACATTAGTGACCAGTTTGTTGGTAAAATTTTATGCAACTTAGGTGCTAGAATTAACTTAATGCCATTGTCTATTTTCAGGAAATTTGGAAGTGAAGACGCAAGGCCAACAATTGTGACTCTACAACTTACTGACCGGTCCATAGTGCATCCAAATAGAATAGTAGATAAGATGTTGGTTTGAGTAGATAAGTTCATATTCCCAACTAACTTCATTAGACTCGACTATGAAGCTGATAAGGAAGTTCCAATCATCATTGGAAGACCCTTCCTCGCTACAGGGCGAATCATTAATCGATGTGGAAAATAGAAAACTCACTATGCGCTTAAATGATGAGTACATTACTTTCAATGTTTTGAAAAATATGCTTTAGCAATTGAAAAAATGGAGGACGATAATGAAAGAAATTTCATGCAATACTTCGAGTTATTGAACCTTTCTAATCGACTGATTCAAGCACCAAAGGCATCCACAGAGGACCCACCTAAGCTTGAGCTCAAACCCTTACCCGGGCATTTGAGATATACCTTCATTGGGAAAAAATGATACTATGTTATCATCATTGCAGCGAAGCTTACAACATCTCAAGCTAACAATTTGATTTATATGTTGAAGCAACATTACAAGGCTATTTCCTGGGGCATTGCTGACATAAAAGGGATTAGCCCAGTATTTTGCATACATAAAATTTTATTGGAGGATCCGAGTAGTAGTTCTATTGGGCAGCAAATATGGTTTAATCCAATTATAAAAGAAGTGGTTTGAAAAGAATAAAATGGTTGGATGCTGGGATTATATACCCAATTTCTGATAGTAATTGAGTGAACCATATATAATGTGTTCCTAAGAATAGATGAATCACCGTGGTAGTAAATGAGAAAATAAGAAAATGAGTTACTTCCCACACACATAACCACGGATGAAGAATTTGCATGGACTACCGCAAACTGAATAAAGCTACAAAAAAGGATCACTTCCCACTGTCGTTCATTGATCAAATGCTAGACAGACTTGCTGGAAATAATTTTTATTATTTTCTTGATGGTTATAGTGGCTACAATTAGATTGATATATCCCCTAAAGATAAAGGTAAAATGTCTTTCACTTGTTCTTATGGAACTTTTGCTTTTAAAAAATGTTATTTGGACTATGCAATGCTCCAGCAATATTCCAACCCTGCATGATGTTGAATTCTCCAATATGATTGATGATTGCTTGGAAATTTTTATTAATGATTTTTATGTTTTTGGGGAATATTTTGAGAATGTCTATCCAAATTAGCTACTATTTTGAAGAGATATAAAGATACCAACCTTCTGTTAAATTAGGAAAAATGTCATTTCATGGTAACTGAAGGTATAGTGTTAGGGCATCGCATTTCTCAACGAGGAATCGAAGTGGATAAAGTCAAGGTCAAAGTCATTGAGAAATTATCTCCACCCTCGAATGTAAAAGCTGTAAGAAGCTTTATAGAGCATGCATGTTTTATCATAAGTTTATTAAGGATTTTTCCCGACTAGTTAAACCAGTGTGTTCATTGCTGGAGCAAAATAAGAAATTTGTGGTTGATGATGAAGTTCTGAAATCTTTTGAGACCATCAAATCTAAGCTAGTTAATGCCCATATTTTCGTAGCACCAAATTGGAATTTACCTTTTGAACTGATGTGTAATGCTAGTGACTTTGCTCTTATAGCAGTGTTAGGGCAACACAAGAAGCGATTCTTTCATACAATTCATTATGCTAACAGGATATTGAATGGCACTCAGATGAATTACACCACAACTGAAAAGGAATATTGGTTGTGGTGTTTATATTTGATAAATTTCGATCATACTTAGTTGGAACCAAGGTGATAGTATATATTGACCATTCAACGTTAAAGCATTTTTTTGCTAAGAATGACACCAAGCCGAGACTAATTCGTTGTGTGCTATTACTTAAAGAATTTGACATTGAAGTTCGAGATAAGAAAGGAACTGAGAACTAAGTTAGCTAACCACTTATCACGCTTGGAATTCAGAAGTAAGGATGGCAAAATGCTTGTAATACCAGATGTTTTTCTCAATGAATAATTGTCAGACATCAATGCTCTACCATGGTATGTTAATTTTGTGAATTATTTAGTTAGCGGTATGCTGCCACCAGATCTTAATCACCAAGGTAGAAGAAAATTCATGAGGGACGCCAAATCATATTTTTGGGAAGAACCTTGTCTTTTTAAGCAATATAATGACCAACTCTTGAGAATATGTGTTCCAGAGTGTGAACATCATAACATCTTGTAGCATTTCTACAACGCACCTTATGTCAGACATTTTGAAGGCATGATACAACAACAAAAGTTCTCTTATGTGGTTATTGTTGGCCTTCGCTATTCAATGATGCTAATGCTTTTGTACAACATTGTGATGGATGCTAAATGATAGAAAACATCTCTAGGAGCAATGAGATGCCAATGCAACCTTTCTTGGAGATTGAATTGTTTGATGTTTGGGGATTGGATTTTATGGGACCTTATCCATCTTCTTGTGGTAATACTTTCATTCTTGTTGTTGTTGATTATGTGTCTAAATGGGTTGAGGCTATAACATTACCCTTAAGTGATGCTAAAGCGGTTCTCTGATTTATCCATAAGAATATTTTTACTCACTTAAGAACACCACAAGTATGTATTAGTGATGAATGTTCCCAATTTATTGGTAGATAAGTAGTAAATGCTCTGCAGCATTTTGGAGTAAAATATCGCATTGCTATAGCATATCATCCTCAAACAAATGGTCAAGCTAAGGTATCCAACCATGAAATCAAGTAAATCTTGAAAAATTTTGTTAATCCTTCAAGGAAATATTTGTATCTAAGACTTGAAGAAGCAATTTGAGCTTCTAGGATGACTTATACAACCCCCTTGGGTATGTCACCTTATCGCCTTGTTTATGGAAAAGCTTGTCACTTACCCGTTGAGCTGGAACATAAAGCCATGTGGGGTACTTAAGAAGCTAAGCTATGATCTCAATGCTGCTCGGGAACAAGAAATATTGGAGATTAATGAACTTTAGGGGCTACGTAATAATGCTTATGAGAGTGCTCGAATTTACAAGGACAAAAAAAAGATATGGGATGATCAGCATATCCTACCAAAACAATTTCATGTTGGACAACTTGTGCTCTTATTTAATTCTTGCCTTAAGCTTTTTATGGGCAAACTCAAATCATGCTGGCCAGGCTCCTTTGAAGTTGTGGAAGCCTATCCTCATAGGGTAGTACTCTTGAAGAATCTAAGTGATAGAACTACATTTAAAGTCAATGGGCAGTGTTTGAAACATTATTGCCAAAAATAACGCCTTGATATCACCTCTATCATACTAAGTGAACCATCTTTCTTTTAAATTTCTTTTGCTATAAATAAGTTATTTTGACATTAGTTAGATATTTAGTTTTTATATTTTAATTAAATTTTGATTTACTTTTTTTTTCTTGTTGATAAGGCTAAATGTTGAAGCTTTCATGCTGGAATTTTTTTTTCTTCTAAAAAATGTGTGTGCTACATTCGCTGCTATAACATATGACAACTGGACGGGTAACTTTAGGTAAAAAGTAATTTATATGAGTTGTCATCCACTTTTACCCCTCTATATCCACTATCCACATTACTTTATCTTCACCATCTAGCTTTTATCTTTATCCTCATCTTTTAAGTTTAATTTTTAAACCCCTTTTTTCCCTTTTACATGCCACATTTAATATTCCCAACCCTAAACCATTTACTCAAGTTTATTTTATTTTACCTACCCCTCAGTTTTGATCGTTTCTCTTGCTCTAGTCGTCTACTGTCTTAACATTACCAACTTCACCGTTTCAAGTCATCGTCAAGCCCATGA